AAGGGGGGCCCAGCAAAAAAAGTTTGGGAACCACTGCTTTAGAACATGTGGCTGGTCAGTGGATTGCTGTTTGTCTCAGAGTTTTCTTAAAGGCTTCTGGTTTATTGATCGACATGTCCGGCCCGTGATCTTCTGTTTCACAGTTGATGGTCGTGTTTTGTCTCTTTGTCCTCTAAATGAATAAACATTTCCCTGATGGAGAACAACATGAATGTGTAAACTGTGTTTTGTCATGTAAAAGGTCAATAATGTCAGGTTTGTGACTCTGTGCAGATCCGCTGGACTAAAACTGCTGGTGGAGCGTCAGACCGCGAATCCTCGCTGCACAACGAAACTCTGAGGATCCAAAACATCAACCGCCACCAGGGGGGGCGTTACTACTGCAAGGCTGAGAATGGATTGGGATCCCCCGCCATCCGCTCCATACGAGTAGACGTCTACTGTAAGAACCCTGATTCACACCAGCCTGACATTCTGGAGCAGACACACGTTTAGATAACGGTGCTCTCTGTGCGTTGGGTGTTTCAGAGTGTATAGAGTCAGTCATAAGCCTCACAGACTGATCATGGTGACCTGTTGGCATCAACAGTAGCCCTGTTGAGTCTGCATCCATGTGGTCGAGCTCGGCCTGTCGAGGTGTGGGAGGAGCACGCTCGATCTGCTTTTGAGATGAGGCAGTGTATTTATTTACATTGGGGGAAAACAACAAGAGCTCTGTTCACGATTTCCACGCAGTGGCTCCCACTGCTGATGTGTCCAACAACAACAGTGCACATGAAGGTGGAAAGCTCGGCCCGTGGTACAGCTCCCGTGACCTGCTATCCCTCCTGATTCCTAGTGCACAAAGACGATCACTGGGCAGTCAGAAAGAGAGCACAATAACACACGTTTCACTGTACTGCCGAGTTACACTCAACCATCCAGCGCTGCCCGATCACACGTTAAGCAGGCTGACACAGTATGGAGGGTAATTAGCAGCATCTGATTCACCGCAGGTGTGGATGGGCTCAGCTTCCGGGTAGCATGTCGCCCGCCAGGCGTCCGGGAGCGCGTGCTGTCACAGCGTTACACGGCTAGTGCAGACACTGCCTGTTGGATACACTCAGGGTGCTCTGTGTTGGCCTCTTTATGTGGCTCCTTTGGTTTGCACCTCCTGCCTTGTTTTGTCTGACACACTAATTACAGCTCCAGCTGTAACTAGTGTTGGGATGGTGCTGTGTAAATCATGACACATTTTATTCAAACAAGACAGAGACACACCTGAGAAAGGTGGAATAGGACCTTTTAAGCAACGGTCCGTAAACATCTGGAAACTGAGGGAACTAAAGGGTTTTTTAGGAGAGACCTGCCTCAGTCCTTCCTGATATAGGATCACAGTAGCTCAACAGTCCAGGTGTTCTTTGTGATCTAGATGATGACATGTAGATCTGATCTAGATCGGGTCCAGCTCTGTAAGCCCTAACACCCCCCCAAAGATAGAGGATTTTATTCCTGAGTAGAAGCTGGACGGTCCTTGTCCTCATTGGTCCAGGTGACATCCGTGTTTTCCAAATATCAGTCTGACCGACCTTTGAACAGTTTCCACGTCTGCCTCAGTCTATTGTAAAGGGCCAGAAAGACAACGGTGTGTCACGTCCACGTGACTCCTCTGCATTAGTGGATGTCACAGCAAACTGTTCACAGACGAGTGAAGTTTCTACGACGCTGCCGCGGCTGTTCTCACTGCAGTGCTGCCTGAGAGGCTGAAGTTTAATGCAGGCATCGCGTGTTGATTTAAATCAGTGTCCCTCGTGATTCCAGACACAGTGATCATAGTTTTTTTGTCTTGTTTTAAATCTGAAATTGTCAGCCAGCGTTTTGAGTGAATCTCTCATCATTAATGCTGAGGAACCCCGACTCTCTGAGATGCCAGTCGTGTTACTGAGCTGCTGCCAATCAGGAAAAATGTTCTGATTTTTCAGCTTTCTTGTTGCTGCAATAAAATTCAAGCTGAACTAATATCTCTCATGAGTTCATGTAAATCACTGCATTCTGTTTTTATTCGTACAGTGTTACACAGGGATCTCTTTTGAGACTGGGCGTGTTGATGTGTTTGGGATTAATGTCGTGCTAAAAACATGGAGCTGTTGCCACGATTGGACGAGAGGTGCTGTCTCAGTATGACACAACCATCTCTGTGCCGTGGGAGAGAGCCCTCCCCGAGCCCCGGGAGTCGGTAACAGGGTCAAATACTTTAACCACTTAAATCCAACATTCTCGACGGTGCTCACTGACATCGTGTCGAGCTGTTGTCTGTTTTTGTGCAAGCGTGCTTTCAATTTATTTGTTTCATCGTTTTGTAAATTCAGCTGATGAAATGGGTGCAAATGTTTCTGTGAGGAGGCTGCTGTGAGTCTGTACGTGATGATGACCTGAGTGACTGACAGGTCAGTGATAATAGTGCTTAACGAACAACAGGCACGAGCAGCGTCAGTAAAGAAAACCTGTGAGGATTAAACATCTGCGTTAGTCGGTATCTTCCTGCTGATGGTGTCAAAGTTCGCCCTGCATGTGTCTGCATCACCTGTGTTGATGCTTTCTGTTGCTAATCGTGCCGTATGAAGCATCGAACTATCCTCTGTGGTGAGGTGTTTCTCTCCTCAGCGACAGCGAGCAGGCCCACAGTGTCTCACAGAACAGGTTTCCTCTTCATCGTGGTGTCATTGCTGTTGCATGTAATGTTTCCTCCAAAATAACAAAAAGAAGGAAACAAACATACTTGTTGTATAAAAGCCATAATATCCTGGAGGATGTAGCTTCCTGGGATTACAGGGAGGTACCTCGATGCACCGCAGCTGAGTGCTGCCTTTGAGGCACAGAAGCTTTTACACAAAGTTAGCTGCAGCAGAGACCCGATGAATGGTTTCCTTCACTGCGCCGTGACCTGCAGCCAGCACAGCCTCCCTGCACAGGCTGAACTGTGGGAGTTAGCATGTTGTGGCAGCAGATTGTTTGGGCCTGTGAGTAACTGCACTGGCTGCTTTTTAGAGTTTGACGTTGCTCTGTGTGAAGTGGATTAGTAACCATTAGCCCTTCTGCCCGTGGCAACTTCATAACCACACTCATTATGACCGTGGATCACAGTTGGCCAGCTCCAGTCAGCTGATCGGGGAGCTCGCTGTGTTTCCACACACTTTAAAAGCCCTGGGCTCTGCAGTAATTACCCACACCACAGGAAAACTGACCCCGCTGTTTGGAAAATAGAAGGAAGTGTAAATTCAGACTCCACAGGAGGAAACAAACTGCCTCTGCAGGGCTGCATATAAGTAAACACATTCAGTGTGCAGTAAATGGCTCTGCAGTGAAGTGGCCTTCTGCCTCTGATGGCTCATACTGTACCCACTCTG